CGAATGCATAATTATGTTGACACTAACATATAGTCACTACTGTGTCATATATTTGTAAAAGGTACTTAGTTTTCTTTGGTATTTTGTTAATTTCATAATGTATCTCAGTGTACTAGGTAGATCAGTGTGGACGTTACCTGTCAGACTTCGTAGTCGTGAATACTCCACTCAGTACAAGGGGAGCGAACTCGTTATATCTTACTGTATACGCAAATCTTATGTTGAATCATTTTATATGTTATTTGTGCTATATATACACTGTAGATAATAAATGGCTTCAGGACGGGTCTGTCTACAAAACACTTCTCATACTACATAATGCTAGACTGACCAGCCTTCTCGTAGACCTCAAAAACTCTCGAATAGGAAAAAACCTCTCCTTCTGTTTCGGTAATAATTCTCCATTCCCCATTCAAAGTGGAACATATTGACACATATGTAAATCTCTCTCTCTCTCTCTCTCTCTCTCTCTCTCTCTCTCTCTCTCTCTCTCTCTCTCTCTCTCTCTCTCTCTCTCTCTCTCTCTCTCTCTCTCTCTCTCTCTCTCTCTCTCTCTCTCTCTCTCTCTCTCTCTCTCTCTCTCTCTCTCTCTCTCTCTCTCTCTCTCTCTCTCTCTCTCTCTCTCTCTCTCTCTCTCTCTCTCTCTCTCTCTCTCTCTCTCTCTCTCTCTCTCTCTCTCTCTCTCTCTCTCTCTCTCTCTCTCTCTCTCTCTCTCTCTCTCTCTCTCTCTCTCTCTCTCTCTCTCTCTCTCTCTCTCTCTTTCATCAATTGTTTTATCTTTTGATAAATATCAGGCAAGTGCGTTACTACAATACTTACTCTTTCATTTTGCTGTCAAATTACTTACATTTTAATTTGAGACTGCTGTAAAATCTTTATCAAAATTGGTCATTTTAAAACTCTTAGTAGGTAGGCTACACAGCGACATGAGAACACTTGTCATTCTGTTTCGATACTTCTAATGCTTGGTCGAAGAGACATTACTCAAATTCAAATCACAACTGAAATGTGCAACATAACACAGATGTACACAGTAAAACCTATACACACATGTAATGATAGTTCCGTATGATAGCTCTGTATGTTACTTAGACTATGTTGGCCTAACACCAGGAGTCCTAGACATTATACCTGTTGGTCAAGTCAGTTGATATACCCGTCGTCACAGGTGATTCTTTAGTTTTCCGGTCTGTTCCAAGTATAGATTTGTTTTGTCATCAATGAAACAATTAGGGCTTTCTGTCGTATAATCTTCAATTTACACTAGAGATATACTTCTCTTCAACAACCATAATGTCAGCTTCCGTTATATCCGTGATCAACCAACATTTAAACACAACAAATATCTAAATTTATTTAGGAAATATCTTTTAACATCTATATCTCATAATTATAGTCCTAAATATATAATTCAATTCAATTAGAGATAATTCTATTTTAAATTAAATTTTAATTATATTTAATTTTAATACGTTTGAAGAATCGTATGTTTATGCATTCTTGAATACATATGGAAAAGTCATCAAACAGAAAAATGTAACATTGAAATATCGACAAATACCTTGGTATGTTTTCATATAATCTGTCGTTAAAATACTCCGGGTCGAATTGAGAGTGATAATTCTATAATATAGATAGTTTAATTATATAACAGTATAAACGTTGCAGAAAATTTGGTAATTGAGAGATATTACACGACACGTGACCAACACGTGCTTTCATACTTAAATTTGATTCGCCCTGCTCTGAAGTAATCATACGATGACGTAGCAAATTTCAAATTAGTGATTTCTATGACCGAGAAATCTATTAGTTTAACAAAATGAAGACTACATTTCTACAAAAACAAATATTAATTGAATACATTTAGAAGATTCCAAAGTGATAAAGACGTATAAATATATACTGTCAAATATCTTAAACAGACTAAGTAGTGAACGACGAAAGGTAAACATGTGGCCTGTAAGTTGACACCAGACAGTTTAATTATACCACACGTGTATTAAATAGTGATGAAAATAAATGATATGACAAATTTCACAAATACTGCTGCAATAATTCAATCAATCACTGAAAAGTACCGTATTTTGATTTTCAAAGTAACATGATACTGATTCCTGAAACATGTAAACCGATAAATGCAAAAAAATCTACATTACCCAAACATTAATTACGTCACTGTCAATACAACAGTTGGGTGTTTGTTCAGGGGGGCTATATACTGTACATGGTTTAAGGGGTATTGGTATGTTTTGGAACGCGACATATCGGTAAACGGGAGAGATGCGAACATCTGATTTTAATTAAATGGGATTTGGAGGGAGGAAGAGGTCCTAAACTTTCAGACTGAATTCGTCATTTTCCATTAGATCATTGTCCACTTTCCATAGGATATCATCACAGATCTGTGACTTGTATCATAAGGATCAAGTCATTATCATTAGATGACCAGTCGTATATTGCTCAACTCATTCGGGCTCAGAAAGTTATATCTCTTGAATTTAACAAGTGTCATAAATACATTAGAATATAGTAATTGCTGTTTTAAATAGTTCATAAATACCCTAATGCATCTGAGTGTGTCAGGTAAATCAGTGTTTACGTTACTTGTCAGACTCTATAGTCGTGTTAACTCCACTCAATATAATTCATTGCTGAATAATGTGTAAAGGACTCGAACAAGGGGAGCGAACTCGTCATAACTTACTGGATACGCCAATTTTATGTTGAATCAAATTGTATGTTATTTGTTCTATATATACATTGTAGAACATAAATGGTTTCAGGAATGTGTCTGTCTACATAACACTTTGCATATTACATAAGACTCCTGAAACAGAAAGACCTCCCTGATTCTTATGTGTCAGTTATAATACCCCGTTCACAATGGAACATATCGATACACATACAATATTGATATGTTTGGAACCAGATTTTGTCGGTTTGGTATACAGTATATTTATAGTTTGAAGTCGTGTGAGTAATGCCAGATGTTAATGGCTTCCTCCTTCCATCTCTCTCTCTCACTGTGTCCCCGTCCAACTCTCTCTCTTTCTTGGTGGCGTATGATAGCTCTGTCTATTTTTGGCCATACGCCAAGAGTCTAGGAAATTATACTGACTGTGTCGCTCAAGTCACGTGATATACCCGTAACAAGGAAGTGTACAGATAAAGTTTTACCGACATAATAACAAAAATGGTGGCAGTTCACAGTTTGTAGGCAAAGTATTCCTTCAAACTCACTAAAGTACCAACACCATGGCAAGTAATAGATCTCTACGACGTGCCCAGAAACCCGTTACCTATACGTGTGCTTTGTGTGACAGTGAAAACGGGGTACGATGGTACTGCAACGATTGTCAGGAGAATTTATGTGACCGGTGTAAGGAATTCCATACACGCGGAAAGAAAACTAAAAACGATGACGTGGTATCGATAGGGAAGGCTAACCGCCAGTACGACAAGCCTGTACCAGAGGTATGTAAACTACACCCCAGTAAACTGTGTGATCTTTTCTGTTCGGACTGCAACATGTTGTTTTGTTCGATGTGTTTATCTAAAACTCATAAACACCACAACTGGAAACATTTTGAAGACGAATTTTCCATTAAAAAGCAACATCTCAAAGAACATATGACAGCAATTTCTGTTAAAATAGAACATTTCAAGAACGAGACATCAGAGCGACATCGTGTTAACGAAGGGTTCAACGACAACATTGATACAATGAGGAAAAATGTGAACTCTCAAAGGGCAAAGTTAAAGGCAGAAGTAGATTATATTGCTGATGCAATACTCGCTGAATTATCGTCTTTAGAAAAAGAAGAATCAATCATACACAAGAAAGATTGTCAACGATCAGAAAAAAAAGTCGAAGAACTGACGCGTCTGCTTGAACAAGCGGAAATGACGGACACATCAAATGTATCCTTTTTTGAAACAGAAAGGTCATTGAGGATATCTCTGTCCCTGTATGACGTTAATGTGAGATATGTTTCACCAAAACAACCAAGCTTTGTTACCGGAAGTATCGACAGCGTTCTGTTGACGAAAATGTTAGGTGAATTACACCACGGGAACCAGTACGAGAAGACAGACATCGAAAGTAAACACGTTCAATGTCTCTCTAAGTTTACTGTTACCCAACAAAATCAAATACTCGGTATATGTCCAGTCGACGACAGTCACGCGTGGTTATCAATAGATGAATATGATGCTCTGGTACTGGTCAACAGTGAGGGTGTGGTCACAGAGACAGTAAAACTGGACTTCTGTCCTTACATGATCACCATGGTCGGGACAACAGACATACTTATGACCATTAGTAGAGCTAGTACATGTGTACATAAACTATCACTACACAACAAACAGGTAACAACATTTGCTGACATCAACCCACATCAACCGTACGACATCAGCATCAACGAGAAGGGCGAGGTGTTTGTTAGTACAGCTACACCAGACATAGTGGTACTGAATCAGTCAGGTACGATTGTGAGGAAGGTCAGTATTGGATCAGAAATAATAATGTACATTGTCTGCTTGTCATCGCTACGTCTGTGTGCATCTCAAGCAATCGGGGGGAGCCGGACAGATAGGAACATAAAGATAACAGACGAGTCAGGTACCGTCATACAGACATGGACTGGTGAACTCGACAACGGTCAAAAGGTCGGTAGTATGAACCTCTGTAAGATGTCATGTGATAAGTACGATAGAGTGTTTGTACCAGACATCCGTAACAATCAAGTGTACGTCCTACCGAGAGACGGCAAACAAGCTGTGTGTCTCCTGGACCAGAAACATGAAGTGATGGAACCTACAGCGGTGGATGTAGACACGTGTGGGAACGTGTGGATCGGGTGCGGAGACGGCACCGTGCACGTGATGGGACTGTAACATGAGGAAATAGTGTATAGGGTACACAAGACTTCGTGGTACAACAATACATTATGTTTATATCATTCCACGACAGTTCGCTGATGTATGAAGCATGAGAGAGAGAAATTCAGAACGTCAGAAATAGAGTGACGGACATAGAGGGAAACAAACATAAAATCAATATTTTTTTATATAAAATGTATCTTTATGGTTTGTTACGTTATTGAATGACATAAACATCCAAATAAATTATATCAATTGGCTTTAGATTTGAATACTTTTCTTAGGCCAAAGAAACAAATGTTTTTTTCCGGTTACCTACCTTATATTTTGTGCCTACCTTAAACTTTTTTCTTTTTCTTTTGCAATTTTGAAGGAAGCACTGCAAAAAATGAAAAAAATGAATTACATTTCTTATTCTTACTTTTTCAGACATGTAACAGGAAACAGATATTTTCGTTTGCTTGCTTTTCTCTATTTATATATGAATATTTAACTATCATGACTATTGATTAAAGTGTGTTACACAGATGTTTACAACATGTTATTAACCGGTAAGTGTAAGGTAATACATGTTTGGTTGGGTTGTTTTATACCTTGTAATATTGAAATATAACAAGAATGACTGATACATTTAGATTTGTATTAACATTGTTATAACCTTTAAACAGACATATATAGATATAACACTAAATAAAAGCTCCCATTGTATTACTGCTGTGTATTTGTTTGTTTGAACTATTTATAAGTATCTGGAAATCAGATAATAGATTTGGTTAGTCATAATGTATTTTCCACATCAGAGGGTTTTTATTATTATTTTAAATTCCTTTCCTGTTATAATCGTTATATCGCATTTTGCAAAAGCAGAAGAAAAAAAGTCCAGTTTCAATAAGATTTTGTTCTGTAAATCATCAAAAAATGATTTTGCAGAGTGAAAAATAAGGCGAGGTTTAGTTATAGTCTTCCCGAGACTTCTATGCCGTCTATATAAACCCCTATGGGGGAGATGACGTTTTGATATTCGCTGATACTTCCTATACATCGGGATAGGTCTGAATAAACCTACTGTGATGGCTTATTAGGCCCCTGTGGCTGGTCTAACAAGAGAACCCTATGTGTGGACCAACCATAAAACAAGACATCATGATATGTACAACCATACCTACACATCTCTACGTCCCTGTGACCGGGCTAATTCGAGGTACTTGTTATCGTGGTGGGTCCACACATACCGAGAGTGATCAATCATCAGACCCCTGTGACCGGGATAATTATGGATACTGATAATCGGGACAAGTTCAAACACACTTACAGTAATAAATACTCAGGCCTCTAAACAAAACAAAAATACTGTGATGAATTATCATGCCCCTGTGTACGACCTTATTATAGGAATTTATTATCTGGACAAGTTCAAAAATATTTTCAGTGATACATTCTCAGTCCCCTTTGAACGGGCTAATGAGTAGTAATTTAATCATGTAAGGTTAACAAATACTTACAGTGATAAATTCGTAGGCCCCTATGACTGGCCTAGGTATGGGTACTTATAATCAATGGAAGTTTAAACATATTAACATCTACAGTTATACATTCACATGCCCCTGTGATCTGTGACCGGGCTAATAAGTGGAACCTATTATCAGGACAGGTTCAAACATAATTACAGTGATACATTTTCAGGCCCCAATGACCGGGCTAAAAGCAGAGGTACTTATTATCAGGATAGGTTTTAACATTCTAATAACGATAAGTTCTCAGGCCCCTATGACCGGGCTAAAATCAGAGGTATTTATCATCAGGACAGGTTCAAACATCATTACAGTGATAAATTCTCATGCCCCTATGACCGGGCTCAAATCAGAGGTACTTATTATTAGGACAGGTTCAAACATACATACAGTGGTAAATAATGAGGCCCCTATGACCGGACTAAAATCAGAGGTATTTATCATCAAGATAGGTTCAAACATTCTAATAATGATAAGTTCTCAGGCCCCATTAAACAGGCTTACTTAATGTACAACTGCATCTATATGTGGACCAACTATAATAACGAGACATTCGAACGGTATTAAAAATGACATCAGGAAAAGAAAACTGGCAAAAATCTGTGACATAATTAGGTCAACTCTATTGGGAAAATACTGACTTCAATTCGAAGTTTTTGTAAATACATATGGTGAAGATAATAGAGGATTTGGAATGAAAAAAGAAATCATATTTTCGATAGAAAATTTCTTTCTATGTGCAATAGAATACAACTATTGCCAAACCGATTTTCTTATTTATATGAGTTTGATTTTCTACCTGGGGACACAGGCCTGACATATCTTTCTTTACCTGGATTTTGACTTTAAAAACTCGAGTAAATAATACTCAAAACATTCGCATATTTTAAACCGAAAAAACAGTGAACGACGAAAGGTAAATGTGTTGCATTTAACTTGGTACGATGCTTTTTAAATATGCCATTCATGTGTTAAATAGAAATGAGGAAAAATCGTTTAACAAATTGTACAGATACTGCTGACAATTAATCAATCGATCAACGAAAATGTACTGTATTTTTATGAAATTTCACATATCAAACTAATTATAATTCAGAAATACGTGAAATTATTATCACTTTTACATCTACATACTGGCTTCTGGAAAAGGGTACAAAAAGTAACTGTTAGGCATGAATACAACCAGGCTACGTTAACGTAATGTCGTCATAGAACTACGACATTTGTGTGTGTGTGTTTGTGTGTGTGTGTGTTTGGAGGGGGGAGCTATATACTGTACGGGGTTAAGGGGAAATTGGTATACTTTCAAGTTTGGAGGGGAGCTCTTAAAAACCCAGGCTGAATTCGTCAATATCTTATTTTCATTTGACTCACTGAAGGATCCTGTAATCGGTAACTTTGCAATTTATTATAATCACTGACTTGTGTCTGGTATCATACGGATCTCTTCATCATCACCTTTTCTAGGTGACAGGTGGTATATTGCCCCACTCATTGGAGCAAATATAGATTTTATTCCCTAGATTTAACAAGTAGAATGCCTAATTATGTTGACACTAACATATAGTCACTACTGTGTCATATATTTGTAAAAGGTACTTAGTTTTCTTTGGTATTTTGTTAATCTCTTAATGAATCTTAGTGTGATCAGAGTTGACGTTACCTGTCAGACTTTATAGTCGTGTATACTCCACTCAGTACGATTCATTGCTGAATGAATGATGTGTAAAGGACTCGAACAAGTTATATCTTACTGTATACGCAAATCTTATGTTGAATCATTTTATATGTTATTTGTGCTATATATACACTGTAGATAATACATGTCTTCAGGACGGGTTTGTCTACATAACACTTATCATATTACATAATATTAGACTGACCAGCCTTCTCGTACACCTCAATAACTCTCGAATAGGAAAAAAATTCTCCTTCTGTTTCGGTAATAATTCCCCATTCCCCATTCAAAAAGGAACATATTGACACATATGTAAATCTCTCTCTTTTATCTTTTGATAAATATCAGGCAAGTGCTTATCAAAACGTTACTACAATACTTACTCATTCATTTTGCTGTCAAAATACTTACATTTTAATTTGAGAATGCTGTAAAATCTTTATCAAAATTGGTCATTTTAAAACTCTTAGTAGGTAGGCTACACAGCGACATGGGAACACTTGTCATTCTGTTTCGATACTTCTAATGCTTGGTCGAAGGGACGTTACTCAAATTGAAATCACAACTTAAATGTGCAACATAACACACATGTGCACAGTAAATCCTATACACATGTAATGATAGTTAAGTATGATAGCTCTGTATTTTAGTTAGACTATGTTGGCCTAACACCAGGAGTCCTAGACACTATACCTGTCAGTTGATATACCCGTCGTCACAGGTGATTCTTTAGTTCTCCGGTCTGTTCCAAGTATAGATTTGTTTTGTCATCAATGAAACAATTAGGGCTTTCTGTCGTATAATCTTCAATTTACACTAGAGATATACTTCTCTTCAACAACCATAATGTCAGCGTCCGTTATATCCGTGATCAACCAACATTTAAACACAACAAATATCTAAATTTATTTAGGAAATATCTTTTAACATCTATATCTCATAATTATAGTCCTAAATATATAATTCAATTCAATTTAAATCTTAATTTCATTTAATTTTAATACGTATGAAGAATCGCATGTTAATTCATTCTTGAATACATATGGAAAAGTCATCAAACAGACAAATGTAACATGGAAATATCGACAAATACCTTGGTATGTTTTCAGATAATCTGTCTTTAAAATAAACCGGGCCGATTTGAGAGTGATAATTCTACAATACAGATAATTTGTTAGCTATATAACAGTATAAATGTTGCAGAAAATTTGGTAATTGAGAGATATTACACGACACGTGACCATCACGTGCTTTCATACTTACAATTGATTTCCGCTGATCTGAAGTAATGATACGATGACGTAGCAAATTTCAATCTAATGATTTCTAAAACCGGGAAAACGTTTTATTTAACAAAACGAAGACTGCATTTCTATAAATAAAACAATATTAATTGGATACATTTAGAAGATTCCAAAGCAATACAGACATAAATATAAACTGTCAAGTAGTCGGCTTTGACAAATACACATTTACATTTTTTTTACATTTACGACGATACTGCAAAGGGCCGTCGAACAGCATCAACTTGCAGGTAGACTTGTGTGGCGTGGCTTCCACATAAGTTCGTTAAAAACAGGTTAAAAAGTTAAAACTATTCACAGGATCCACATTCACTCTTTAAGATGACTGTGGAGCGAGGTCTTGAATGCCTCTACAGTCAGCTGCTCGACGACCTCTGATGGTAGTCCATTCTATTCCATGATGGTGTTTGGAAAGAACCTGTATTTGTAGGTGTCGGTGTTGCATCGTATGTTGACATAGCCGTGGTTATGTTGTCTCCTTCCACTTCTGGCGTTACTACTGATATATGGTGGTATGATCAGTGCGTTGGTGTTGTGGATGCCTTTGTAGAGGTTGGTTAGTCGACTTTCCTTCCGTCTCTTCTGTAGGGGTGGCCAGTGTAGCTCAATCAACATCCCGGTTACACTACTGTAACGCGAGTAATCGCCGGTTGTGAATCGAGCTGCTCGCCGCTGGACTCTTTCTATTGACTTTTGTTGGTTTTTCTTATGTGGATCCCAGACTGAAGCTCTATATTCAAGGTTTGGTCGGACTAGGGTCAGGTAGGCCTTCTCTCTCACTTCCTGTTTGCATTTTCGAAGGTGGAGCCCCAGGAAGGATAGTAATCTGTTGGCCTTGTGGTCATCTGGTTGATATGTTGCTTCCAGTCCAGGTTGTTGGCTATTTCCACTCCAAGGTATGGGTTGTGCTCTACTACTTTGAGTGTACTCCCATTGATGTTATAGTCGGCTCCTGTTGTTATGTTGGTTCGGGATCTCTTCATCCTCATCGTGTAACACTTCTTTGCGTTGAATTTCATCAGCCACTTGTTCGACCAGCTGACCATTTTGACTAAGTCATCCTGTAGCTGGTGGGTGTCTGCGACTGAGTCAATGATCCTGAATAGGAGGCAATCATCTGCGAATAGCTTGACAGCAGAGGTGATTCCTGCGCCGATATTGTTGACGTATAGAAGGAACATCAGTGGACCCTGGACTGTCCCTTGGGGGACCCCT